TGTTTATTTATTCTTTTTTTTTTCTATTTTTTACCTTATAACTAAATTTTTTTTAGTTTGTCTGGTAATTCTGTTATCATTAAAAAAGTCGTTTGTTGCTCTATGACTTTTTTTTCTGACACTTTTCTTTAGTTTACTTTTATGTTTTTGACAAAAGTGTTTCACTTTTTATTTTTCGCTTAAACTTTTTATTTTTTTAATGGAATGAATAAATTTCCTATTTGTTTAGGTGAGATAACCTAACAACTTCAATAGATACTTTTTTGTTTTTTTTTATTTATTTTTATCTTTATTTTAATAAACGAATTTGATATTTAGGTGAGATAACCTAACAACTTCAACAGATGATTTTTTAATTTCTTTACTTATTTTTGTTTTTATTTTAATAAACAAATTTGATAGCTTTTTAATGTTTTTTTTATTTTTATTTATTTGACGTTTAGGTGAAACAACCGTTGCAGTCAAGACCCTCAAAGACGACGCGCGTGAACCCGAACTCAACGACCTCCTCTCCGAATACCAGCTCCTCAAAGAGGTCTCCCACCCTAATGTAATCCGCCTTCTGGGGGTTTGCACCGCTCCAGGTGGTCCAATTTATCTAATTATCGAGTTTGCTGAACACGGATCGTTACGGTATTTTTTTTACTACCACCACCGCCACCAAACTAGTTTATTTCCCTCCCTCGCTTTAGGAATTATTTGAGGAGGAGTAGACACCTCAAATCGGAGTGTGGCCGGCTTCCGAGCTCGACGGTGGATGACAGTGAGGTTCATTACGACGAACCGAATATTTCTAAAGTGACACCGAAGGAAATTCTATCTTTTGCTTGGCAGATTTGCAAGGGGATGGCGTATTTGAGCGAGATTAAGGTGAGAGGAGGTGGGGTGAGGGTGGGTTTTTGTTGAAAAGTGTTTTTCTAGTTGGTTCATCGGGATTTGGCGGCGAGGAATGTGCTGTTGGCGGCTGATAGGATTTGTAAAATTTCCGATTTTGGATTGACGAGGGATATTTATGAGGATGATGCGTATTTTAAGAGAAGCAAAGGGAGAGGTAATATTTTTTTTAAGATTTAAAATAAAATTTCAGAACATCACGGAAACTCTATTCTAAAGATTTTTAAGTGTCTTTAAAAATTTTGAGTTTTTTAAAATTATAATTTTGCTTTTAAAACTTCAAGAATTTTTTATTTTTACAGTCAAAAAATTACATTTCT